AGGTAGGACTACCAGCATTTTCTTCATTAAGCTAGACTTTATAACATTGCAAACACTGGATTCTTTAATAAGGTATTATCGTTAAACGTTTTATAGCATATTAATTGTTGCCCAAATGATTTACAAAACTGAGAAAGTCATCAGATGGTTTCAGGCGATACATTGAGAGTATAGTCTGAAACCTTAAGAAGCATTCTAAAGGAGAAAATATTTTGTAGTCCCCCCCCCCCCAGTACTCCCCTGTGTGTATGTATTTCCATTAGAAAAACTAAAAGAAGTAATCAAGGGGAAAATCGTAGAAGTTTTTCTTCTGAATTTTTCATTCCTCTTCTTCTGGACCTTCACATCCCTAAAGTCATGTGTTAGAGTTATTATTTTGATTATTAATTTGTACAGGAGTTTTTATTATGAGCCACCCTCAGAACCATTTTTTTTGGCACAAAATATCTTTCTGCGAATTAACTGATCTAATGTTCATTACCACTGTGGTTTCATTCCATCTTTCTGCCTTTAAAAGATTTCCCTGTAATATAATTCTGACCTGGTACATTCTTTTCTTTCAGGGCCAGAGAGCATTGTCTTCAGAAGCTTATTCTCCCAACAGAAGAACCTGGAACTTTGAATGGACATTTTGTTTTGAGGGTAGTACCTTAAGGTTGATACCCAGGACCTAAGAGAGGCTGGTTAATTAATGGTCCCAAATGGTCATCCCACTTCCTCCTCAATAGCAAACTTTCTGTATCTCTGTCCCTGGCTCTACATTCCTTTCAAGGAACTTAGAGGATGCTTGGTCCATTGGGAACCCTGGAAAATATTAGATGTGACCAGGAAGACTAAAAATCTGACTTTTGAGGCAGTGTTCGAATATCATCACATGCCCTGAGGCAAGGTCTTGTGGGTGAGAGCACACAGAAATGGATGCTGGTGCTAGAAGATGAAAATACTGTCCTGCCATTAAAACAAGGGATCTTGTGGCACCTTAGACAAAGGAGGATGGGGTGGAGAGGATGTGGGGGATGAGCCCTAGGGCTGGCCCTGCCTTCTGGAAGGGGTGGGGGAGGCACCCTTGGACTCCAGTGTGTTGGCTGCAAGACTGTCTCCGGAATTAGTGCTGTCTTCATTTTTAACTGCAGAGTTCAAGAGTCAGAAGGTTCACTCTGCCTAAGATCTCCTGGGCCCTTACCTGAATAGCCCAGGCTAACCTGATCTCATCAGATCTCAGAAGCTAAGCAGGGTCAGCCCTGGTTGGTATTTGGGTTGAGAGACCACCAAGGAAATCCAAGGTCATATTGCAGGGGCAGGCAAGAGCAAACCACCTCTGGACATCTCTTGCCTTGAAACCAACCCCACAGGATTGCCATTGGTCGGCTGCAACTTGATGCCACTTTACACACCAGGATCTGCTGGATGCTGGCTGACAAACCAATAAGCAGCTAGGAAATAGGGTTCCTCCACCTTTTAGGTAGAATTAGGTGCAGTGGATTTCCTTGCACTTCCCACTGCCATCAACTGTCCTGTAGTTCTGGGAAGATGCCAGGTTTGCATTAGAGTACCAGATTTGAGGTGGTTTTGCGGTAGATGTGAGACAGGCTAAAGCAAGTACTGCTACTTCATGCAACAAGCCACTGACCCATGGAACTGACTGCCATGAGATGTGACAGCGACTGGCTTTGATGGATTTAAAAGGGAATTAGATTTACAGAAGACAGGTCTATTGGTGGCTACTACAGTTGAACGGGGACCTCTGCATTCAGAGGCAGAATGCTCTTGATGATCAGATGCTGGGGAGCAATCAGCATCTGACATCTGTTACTAGCAGACTTTCCATGTGGCACCTGGCTGGCCATGCTGGATTAGATTTACCATTGGGCTGATTCAGCATTGCTACTCTTAGGTCCCTGCCACACGGCAGGGAAAACACCGGCCAAAGTGCGGCTAATTAGAGCCACACCAAAATAGAGACGCCGCGGCAGCGCCATTGCTCCCCGGCACGATCAGATGCCGGGGAGGAAGCCACAGTCAGGAGGGGGAGTCTGCCGAACTGCGCATGTCTGAGCATGTGCAGTTCGGGCAGGAGCCGGGGACGCGCCGGCGATCCCACGACCGGCTTTGATGCGGTCTTCTCGGATGAACCACCACGGTAGGTGGTTCATTTTTGCAGCAGGGTTTTGGGTGGAAGGGGCAGATCGGGAACAGCCGCGCAACACTTCCCAGATGTTGCGGTGGGATCGCGCCTGTTTGCTGCACCCCCGATCCATCTCTCTCACGGCCCAAAACCTTTCGTGTGACCGGGACATTATTCTTGTTCTTCAACTAGTGGCTCTCAGACTCGGGGTTCCTTAGAAAGTTAACCAGGGAAGCTTCCCCATGAGAAGAGCAGTAATGATGTATGAGGTCCCCCAGAAGAGAAATGTATTTTTTATTATTTTATTGGATTTGTATCCCGCCTTCCCTACATATAGCAGGCTCATGGTGGGTTCCATCAGATACAGTAACCAATATACAAAGAATTAAAAACAATTAAAAACCTTAATAAAATACAATAACATTCCTGTGATTCAAATTCTGGTCAAAGCCTCACAGATGCAATCTGTTTCAAACTTGGGTCCCTAGGTCAGGGGTGTCAAACGTAAGGCCTGGGGGCCGGAACCAGCCCTTCCAAGGCTCTTATGCAGCCTGCGAGCAACTGGTGCAAGGGAGGAAACAGGAGACTTGCTTGGGGAGGGCAGTGGGTGGAGCCACTCGGACTGTGACTTCAGCATGGCGGAACAACCTCATCTGCAGCAGTCAAACAGCATGGGAGCATCTGCCCAGTGCTGCACCAATGGCTCTCCAGTTTGCCCATATTGGTTTTCCTTTGCACCCCCCTCCCGGCTCATGGGGCCTTACAATGAGGATACGACAACTCAGAGCTTACCAGCTGCTGTCCTTTATGCAGCTCCTATCTACAGTACTTGGCGTTATGTTTTATGGCACACATGGCCCGGCCGACAAAGAGACATTTATGTCAGATCCAGCCTTCTTAACAAATGAGTTTGACACCTCTGCTCTAGATGGCCCAGTAGAAGGGGGGGGGGATGCCCAACACCCTAACTGAAAGCCTGGTGGAAGAGGCCCTGAGGAACTGTAAAAGGTCCCGCAGGGCCCTGATCTCTTATGGGAGCTCATTCCACCAGATAGGGACCAGGGCTTAAAAGGCCCTGGCCCTAGTCGAGAGTCGAGACAAGCTATTTAGAAATGTCCAACAATCTGAAGTTGCAGGGGAGCATTGTTTGTGTTTTAAGATCCTGATTAGTCCACCTTTATTAATCAGCCTTACAGTAGCGTACTTGACAGTAGAATATTTATAAACCACTTTGTCTTTTCCCCCCTGTTGGTTGCAAGGTACGAAAGGGACAAATGCACTCCCTGCCCTTTAAAAAGCACAATCAACTAAACATGTGGAACATCCTAATGATGGGAAAGGATCAAAATCCTATCTGGGAAGGGCAATAAAAACAACATTTGCCTGAAGAATTTGGCACCTTTTGTTTAAATATCTGGGGAAGAGGGATGACATCTAAGGTTTAAAGTATTGTTGAAACATAACAAAGCAAAACTGAAGCTGTAAAAATATTGGAACAGTAGTCTGAATAAAGCATTTATAGTGTACTTCAGTGTTTGATTTTAATGAACTCTTAATTAAAAAGAGCATTGCTGAAATCCCACATAACTCATTTGAACGCCATCTAGATGTTGATGTTTCTGCTACTGAAATATAACCCGCTTTGGATGTTTGAAAAACTTCAGTAGCTGCCTTATCCTGAGGCAGAACGTTGGCTCATCAAGCCCAGTATTCATGGTTGCAGCAGAGAGTTCTCTTCCCACACCTGGTCCCTGAGTGGACATGGCAGTGGGTCTCTAGGGTCTCAAGTGGAAGACTTTTACATCACCTGCTCTTCAGTCCTCTTTTAACTGGAGATGCTGGAACCATTGCTCCCTATTGTCTAACTGGCAGTGGGTGTTTGGTCTCAGACGCAGAAAGGTCTTTCTTTACTGGGAATACCGTAAGTCAAGATCCCAAGGATTCTGCTTGGGCTTTCTAATGGCAAGCCCCACCTCTTGAGTTCATCTCTCCCGAGAATAATTGCTGAGTTCCCTAAGGGTGGGAAGAAATTTTCCAGTTAGTTTGGAAGCCTGGATTTAGGTGTTCTTTTCTGCATTGCTTGTTAGTCACTTGGCATCAGCTGTTCTGTAGGCATTTTCTCTTGGTTTTTTCCAATAAAGGGGAAGTCAGAGGCCCTGCCTCACAGTCTAGATGAACATGTTGACCAAATTTTAGAACCTGGCATCCTTTAGGACGCACCAGAGCCACGTGGCGGTTCCCAAGGAGACCACCAAAGCCAAAACAAATGCCTCTTCCCTAGGCCAGGCTCGAAAACTGTTCAGGTTCCAACTGTGGGGAGTAGCTCAAGAAAGCTGCCATTCTTCTTTATATCTGATCTGCTTAACAGGTCAAGCTGGTGGAGTTCAAAGAGCTGCAGGGCTATGTTTGACTTGGTGGGCCAGCTATTACAGGCCTAACCTAGGCAGTCTTCAAGACCCTTCTACCAGTTTGCTGTAGTGGTTAAGTGCATGGACTCTAATCTGAGAGAACTGGGTTTGATTCCCCACTCCTCCACTTGCAGCTGCTGGATGACTTTGGACAAGCTATAGTTCTGATAAGAGCTGTCCTTGAAAAAGCAGTTTCTGTCAGAGCTCTCTCAGCCCCACCTACCTCACAGGGTGTCTGTTGTGGGGAGGGGAAGGGAAAGGAGTTTGTGAGCTGCTCTGAGACTCCTTTGGGTAGTGAAGGGCGGGGTATAAATCCAATCTCCTCCTCCCCTTCTACCTATCATTCTCCTGGCCACACAATTTTGCACTTGATTTTTTCTTTACACTGAAGTCTTTGTATATCACTTACATGTGCATGTCACAAACCCTCCCAAAAATGGCCTCTCCCCGCTTAGTTTACTTGGTGCAAATACGTTATTCATTGTTTTATAATAGGGAAAAAGAGATGGATTCAGTGGTGAACTTTGGGGGTGACGGCATGGGTACACATTCAGAGTCCAGCAGCATAGGTACATGTTTGTATAAACATACGCACAATCCCCAAAGCAAGGCAGGCCCAGGCAGTGGCAAGCCAAAACACAGAAGTTGGTTTGTATACATTGTGTAAACATTCAAGTGCATATCCCTTAAAATCAAGACTTCTTGCAGTTCAGGGACTTAAGAGTTGGAGGGGGAAGAAATGGGGGTGAATCCTCAGTAGACAGGCCCCCTCCCACAAAGCACAACTGCTTCCCACGGGGTGGGTATAACAGGTCAGGGGATCACAGAGACCACATACTCTGGAATGTCTCTTTGCCACCATCTCAGGTATTTTCCCAAACACACTACAGAAACTCCCACCTGGTGCCCAAGATCAAGGATGCCTCCCCCCCGCTCAGTTTTCAGGCATGTATAATTTGACAAGGTGTTGAAGTTCTGTGGCATAACCCGTGATGGGGCACCGCTGATGGCTCCTCACGTAGTTGTAAGCGCAGCGGTAGCAGAAGACGAAGCCAGACGTGGAGAGGGCCGTGTCGTTGGCTCGGATCTTGCGGCAGAGCGGGCAGATGGTTCTGAGCTTTGGCAAGAGGGGGGAAGCTGTGTCGTGGTCCAGGTGCAGGGGCGGTGGCGGGGCGGGCAGGGCAGTCAGCGACTTGATGGTCTCCTGGTTTTCGGACGAGTACCACCACTCCAGGAACTGGAGGAAGAAGACTCCGACGGAGAGGCCGGTGGAGAGGGAGAAGGCCAGCCCCCCCAAGGCTTTCTTCACAGCCGACTTCACCTGGCCTTTCACACTGAAGAAGGGAGACAGAGGTACAAAAGTAGGACAAGAGGCATGGGCCAACAGACAAAGCAAGTACTCAGATCCCTGCTCGGCTGCAAGCAGAAGGGCAACAGGATCTTCCTTGCTGGATGCTGACCACAATCTTCATCGAATATGCCGTAAGCCAAGAATGCCCCCCAAAAGGTGGCGGCTTTTTGTATTTCATGCTGGTTTCTGTACTAGCGAGGACAGAGTCATGTGGAGCTCACCTCCAGCCCTAGAGCACAGCCCCTCCACTGGCCACTTCCTGGAACTGCAGGCATCTCCAAAGAAGAAGCACTTGACCTGCGCTACATAAACTAACTGCCTTTAAAACCTGGTGGGTTTTTTTGTTTTATGAGCTGCTATGATGTTGCTTTATTTGTTTATTAACCAAAATTGTAAACTGGGCCTGGTGCTCTTCTATTCATATTTACAGAACCCTTGCCTGATGTTGCTTAAACATATTGAACACACGGAGGACGCTGCCTTATACTGAAGCAGACCATCAGTCCATCAAAGTCTGTACTGTCCACTCTGACTGGCAGCAGCTCTCCTGAGTCTCAGGCGGAGGTCTTTCACATCACCTCCTGCCTGGTCCTTTTAGATGGAGATGCTGGGGACTGAATCTGGGACCTTCTGCATGCCAAGCAGAGCCAATTTGGTGTAGTGGTTAAGTGCGCGGACTCTAATCTGGGAGAACCGGGTTTGATTCCCCACTCCCACTTGCACCTGCTGGATGACCTTGGGCAAGCCATAGTTCTGGCACACCTGTTCTTGAAAATGAGCAGTTTCTGTCAAGAGCTCTCTCAGTCCCACCCACCTCACAGGGTGTCTGTTGTGGGCAGGGGAAGGGAAAGGAGTTTGTAAGCCGCTCTGAGACACCTTTGGGTAGTGAAGGGCGGGGTATAAATCCAATCTCTTCTCTTCTTCTTCAACCACTTCAACCACTTCTTCTTCAACTCATTAATTTGAGGCAATTTTATCTTTTCACATTAATTAATTGATTGATTTTGGGATTTTTACCCCACTCTACCCTGCAAGCAGGCTCGGGGTGGCTTACATAATTTCATACAACAATGTTAATGCTATAAAACATTACAGCATTAAAATAACATTAACCGGTTTAAAATTGGACAACCCAATTAAAACCTATTAGCAGCTCAGTAATTAGCATCCATTGCAGTGACACCTTCACTTATGCCAGGGAGCTCGGTAGATCATTTGGCGGAGTGGATCTGCTGCTCCGGCAGATCTCAATGGCACATGAACCAATTAGACTTAAGGCCTGAGGCAGGGGAGGCCAATTTTATTTGACATCTGCTGCTTCAGCCGAAGACCTGGCGGAACAGCTCCGTTTTGCAAGACCTGTGAAACTGCAACAAATTCCACAGGACCCTGATCTCAATTAGGAGCAAAAAGGCCCTGGTTGAGGCAAGACAGATGTCTTTTGGGCCAGGGACTACCAACTGGTGCTGGTCCAGAAAGCGTAGAGCTCTTTGGCGAATATACGGGGAGAGGCTTCTCTGGTTTGAGAATTAGGAGAAACATCCACCTTGTGAATAAGTATTTTTTTCCCTGTCTTTTTTGGTGTAGAGCCAGTTTGGTATAGTGGTTAAGTGTGCGGACTCTAATCTGGGAGAACCGGGTTTGATTCACCACTCCTCCACTTGCACCTGCTGGATGAGCTTGGGCAAGCCATAGTTCTGTCAGAGCTGACCTTGAAAAAGAGCAGTTTCTGTCTGAGCTCTCTCAGCCCCACCTACCTCACAGGGTGTGTTGTGGGGAGGGGAAGGGAAAGGAGTTTGTAAGCTGTTCTGAGACTCCTTTGGGTAGTGAAGGGCGGGGTATAAATCCAATCTCCTCTTCTTAATTAAATCAGAGCTTTGAAAATACGGGGTCAGTATTCAATCGGTTGAGTTGAGCAAACTTTTCTTGACTGATCGGATGGGTCTGGCTCTGATCTTGGAGCTCCAGGGCTCTCTGGGATTCCGTTCATACTCACCTGCAGGTGGGTGGCTGAGCTGCACTCGCAGCCAGCAGTTTCTTCTCCAGGGCCTGTAGATCTTCTGCCGTGAGCCTGACCAAGTGCACCCCGGCGAGTCTCAGCAGGGGCGAGTGGTGCCGGGCCTTCCCCAGGATGTAGCACAGCTGCTGGGCCAGAAAGCCGCCCTCCCACGCCAGGTTGACGAAAGGGTAGGCTGCCAGGAAGGCCCTGTAGAAGCGCTTCCAGGACGAGGACGGGGGGTGGATGGAGTAGTCGTCCTCTTCCCGCAGCCGGGAGACCAGCTTCTCCAGCTTTGTTTTCAGGTAAGGGACGAGGACCAGCAAGCAGAGGGACTTCCAGTGCTGCTTCTGCGGCAGCCCGAACGGGGCCGGCCAGCTGGGCAGCCTCCTGCTGCCTCGCAGTGGGACCCTCTTTAAGCCGTAGAAGTTTTCAGAAAAGGAGGCGCTGCAGCTGGACAGGTAGTGCTGCTGGAGCAACAGGTCCAGGAGGGTGTAGAGTTCGTCAAACCAGCGCCAGAGGAAGCCGTAACGGTCAGGGTTGGATTCTGCCAGCACCTAGCACATGAGACAGGGGAGGCTGGTATTAATATCAAGAACGACAGAAGAGAGGAGATTGGATTTATACCCCGCCCTTCACTCGGGAGTCTCAGGGTGGCTTACAAACTCCTTTCCCTTTCCCTCCCCACAACAGACCCCCTGTGAGGTAGGTGGGGCTGAGAGAGCTCTTTGGAGGACTGCCCTTTCAAGAACAGCTCTTATCAGAACTATGGCTTGCCCAAGGTCATCCAGCAGCTGCAAGTGGAGGAGTGAGGAATCAAACCTGGTTCTCCCAGATTAAACTCCGGGCACTTAACCACTACACCAAACTGGCAGGGCAACTGTACTGTGACCTCTTTTCTCTCTCCCTCCCTTTGTCCCAGGACAGGAGCCCTAGAATGAGTTTTCTGTTTCCTTTTCAACCAGTGTAGTTATGTAAAAGTGCTACTGAAAACACTTTTGGAATCAATGGGTATTTATTATTCTCCTCTGTTTAATTGGTGTACTTCATTTATACTCTACCTTTTGTCCCCAAAACAGCTTACAGGGCTGTCTTTCGTTTTATCCTCCCAACAACCCTGTGAGTCAGGTCAGACAAGAGAGTGTGACTGACCCAGCAAGCTTCTATGGCAGAGCGGGGATTTGAACCCGGGTCTCTCAGAGCCTTGACATTCTAACCACCGCACCACACTTGAAGTGCAGACCGGCTTTGATTTTCATCCCACCTTTCAATCAAATTTACAATGGCAAAATGTCATTAAACTTAGCAAATTCATTCTGATAAGGAAAACAATTCCATCTATGTTCTTCCTACAAGTGTGGCTGTGTTGGTCTTAGACCAAATAATCTTTAGAAAATCCAGTTCAACATTTAGACTTTTCTGTGGTCTATTATTTTGGAGGAGTCAATAAAAAGGGTACTTAAAAAAAAAAGCCTTTGGCCATTCACCATTCTAAAGACAAACACAGGGAAGCAAGCAGGGATCTGCTGCTGCTACAGCCCAGCTGTGGGAAGCTCTTTTTTACCTTAGCCACATGTTGAAGCGCAGGTCTCACGGCTGACATCAAGCTGTCTTGGGCCACCACCTCGAAGATGGACGGCCTGTCCTCAAAGGCCGAGGCCGTGGTGAGGTGAGCCCCGTGCTCTGCCATGGCTTCTCCAGCGACGAGGAATCCGGGACCCCTCCTGTGATGTTTTTTGCAAATGAAATAGAATCTGTTGCCAGAATCAATCTCAAAGCTGTTCCTAGCCAGAAGCACCTGACTGCGTCGGACTTGATTACTTTAAACAAACAATGTTTCTAGTCTTCAGTGTGCAAAGATGACCATGTGCAGGCACAAGATTTGGGGAAGCTGCTTTCATCATGGGGAAATGCTCTGGAGTGCATTATTGTAAACAAAGCTTCTAGACCTCAATGTGCAGGCATGAGATTTGGGGAACTTCCGTTGTTCTCTGTCCCTTTCTCATTGCCTTCTGAGATCTCCGTATGGGAAGTCTGCCTCCTGCTTTAAACACAGATCCCCTTGCCACAAATATTTCCAAGTTCTGAAAAACAGAGTAGATGAAGACCACCGACTACATTTTTTGCACACGAGATGCCACAGCAGAAAGGATAAGCTATAGATCTACAAGGAAAAGAATAGGATGCATCCCTGAGAGTGACGTCTCTCACAGGGGATTTGTGATTTGATCTTTAAAGAATCAGGCAACGTCTTCATGTAACCCAGCTGCACCCCATATCCAGAACAAAGCAGCCAGTGTGGTAGAGTGGTTAAAAGTGGCAGACTCTGATCTGGGTTTAATTCCCCACTCCTCCTCCACAAGAAGCCTGCTGGGTGACCTATGGCCAGCCACAGTTCTCTCAGAACTCTCTCAGCCCCACCTGCCTCACAAGGCACCTACTGTGGGGAGAGGAAAGGTATGTGATTGTAAGCCACTTTGAGACTCCTCAGGGTAGAGAAAAGTAAAGGTAAAGGTTTCCCTTGCTCGAAAGCCAGTCGAATCCAACTCTAGGGGGCAGTACTCATCTCCATTTCCAAGCCGGAGAGCCAGCGCTGTCCAAAGATGTTTCTGTGGTCATGTGGCTGGCATGACTAAACACCAAGGCGCACGGAACGCTGTTACCTTCCCACCGAAGCGTTACCTATTTATCTACTTGTAATTTCTTGCTTTTGAGCTGCTAGGTTGGCAGGAGCTGGGACTAGAGACGGGAGCTCATTCCGTCATGCTGCATTTGGGTGTTGAACTGCTGAACTACTGACCTTCCAGTCTGCAGTTCAGTATCTTAACCACTGAGCCACCGCAGCCCCCAGTGTAGAGAAAAGCAGGGTATAAAAGCCAAAAAAAGCCCAAGCCAGTTGGGCTTGACCGCAAAAAGGCTCTCTTGGTCATGATGGCTGCATTTTCTGCATGATGGCTGCAATTTCTTGTGTCTTCCCCATTTCATAAACCTAACCCTGATAGAAGACCTTCTGGTTTTGGGAACATCTGGTCAAATGGCAGGTTGTTGTGACAGCTGAATTCCAGCATTTTAATGAACTGGAGTTTCTTCCTGGCCCACAAATTTGATCTCTGAACCAGCATGTTTATTTCTTTATTCTAAATATTTATATGCCCACCTTTATCCTAACCTGAAGCATGGTTTATGTTTTGGAGCACATTATTTTCTATGGAGCTGGGATTTCATTTTTCGCAAGCAAGAAAAAGAGGGATATTTACTTTCCAGACAGTGGTAGGACCCCCACACACAATCATTTGAAGAAATTCTACTGCCATGTCTTTAACACTTGAGAATCGACAGAAATTTTCAATACAGCAGAAGGTTGTTTTTTTAGCTGTGCTATTAGCGTGAAGTCAGCAGTTACTCTGACCCCAAGAAGAGCAATCATTTGCTCTTTCGATTAGGGGCCGCCGCCGCTGCCCCCCCCCCGCTGTATACCATCAATGGGGGGGGGTGAGGGCCCTAGGAAACCATCTGATTAACATCTTCACACTATGCCTACGAAGGGATGTTTGATATGTGGTGCCCTCTCTGATGTTGTAGTATGGATACTGTGTAGTCTGAGCACTTTATTATCTGTTTAGGTTTTTAAATTGTATATTATGGTTTTAAATTGTATTATAGTATTCGATGTTTTATGAGCAAGTTTTTTGCTGTGGAACCCCGCCCTGAGCCCTACGGGGGAGGGCGGGATATAAATTTAACAAATAAATAAATAAATAAATAAATAAATAAGAGCCCCATATGTGACGGAAAATACAGGGGGGGGGGGGAGGAATGCCTATTTGTGCCGTCGCATTCTGATGCGCAATTATGTGATCAGACACGACGGTGGCTTCCCCACAGCAAAGAGGATGATGGGGAAAAAGCCACGCACCAGCGCGATCACACCCAGGGAGTCTGCATGCAGCCCGTGGCAAACCATTTGCCAGTAGGTCGTCCCAGGTAGTTTTTTACTGCGCATCTTCGGCAGGACGCTACGGGTTCACCACGCCTCCCAGATATTCTGGTGTGATCACGCCCAGAAAATCTGCGGGACTATCGTGCCTTCAGCGCAGCAAATGCTCCGCGTGAACGGAGCCTAAGGCCCGCAAGCTTGCTTCCCACAATGTCCAACCTGCTGCGTCTGGGAAACCCACAAGGAGGCAAAAGTTCTCAGTTGTTCCCCAACTAGGGTCACCAACCTCCAGATGGTGGCTGGAGACACTCCTGGGATTACAGCTGATCTCCAGGTGACAGAGACCAGTTCCCCTGGAAAAAATGGCCACTTTGGATGGCAGATTCTATAGCATTATACCCCTCTGAAGTCCCTTCCCTTCCCAAACCCCGCCCTCCTCAGGCTCCACCCCCAAATCTCCAGTTATTTCTCAAGCTGGAGCCGGCAACCCTATCCCCAACCCCAGTGGCTACTGGTCTCAGGCAGACGGCCTCTGAGCTTGGATGTTCCACTCAGCAATCCAACACAATAGCGGCGGTTTTGCGTGTGTGTGTGGGGGGACTAAACACTTACGAATACTGAGTACTGGCACCTTTAGGTTGGGGCTCTCCCAAATCCTGACTGGTGGAAATTTGATCAGCTTTATCAATGAAAACTGGCACCGTTTTATTACAAGAAAGCACTGCGTAACAGACACTCAGTAACCCACACTCTCCATGACTCTGCCTCGTTCTCTTTTAAGGCTATTATTACATCCTGTGGCAGGGAGTTCCACCTCCCCCCCCCCTCCACAATACCCACCTTCCTCCTCCCTCTCAGCCTCCTTTTCACTATAGTCGCCTTGCTTCGACCGATTTGCTACCGGAAGTTCAAGGCAGTTGGATAGTTCTAGGAACACCCTCGCGTTCAGCTCTATGGTTCCCATCCCAGTTCACAGAGACTAGTTGAAAACTAAAGTCCCACCAGCCGACGTGCCGGTTAAACAGAATTTGTAAGCGGCCAACGTTCCGTACGGGGCGACAGAGAGAGCGGGGGACGCCGGGGTATCCGGCTTGAGTTTGGGGCGGGGGAAAGCCGGTTCCATTTGAAACAGGAAGTGCCCCAAGGCCGGGGAGCATGCCTCCCCCTAGCGGTTCCCTTCCCTCTCCGCCGTCTCCCCGTTCCCATTGCTGCATCCGGAAGTGGGCGTGCCACTCTGGCCTCCCTCATCTCTACGGCTCCCGCTCTCTCTAGGCAGAGAGGCGTGGCGGCGTTCTATGGTCGGTCCTCCCAGGCAGCCCGAGTTCCGGTTGCCTCCCCAGCCAGGCGGCTCCTTTCGCGGTGTCTGCGTCCGTTGCTGGTGCCGCCGCCGCCGCCGCCGCCGCCTCCGTCCAAAGGAGCCTGCCGAGAATCGCCTCCAGCTAACAGGTGAGTCTGCGGGGGAGGGGCCTGGGATGGCGCCCCGCCCCCTCAGGAAGGGTGGGAGGGGAGGGTGATGGGGGAGGGGCGGGGGAGCATCCTCAGCGAGGGGGTGGAGGAGGATGAGGAGGGGGCGGCGCTGATGGATTCAGTGGGGTGGGGTCGGAAGGATGTGGGGGGTAGGAGTCGTAGGGTTGGCTCCGCCTCCTGGAATGGGGGCAGGGGGGTGGTTGTGCCCAGTGGGTCACCCTGGCAAAGGCTTTTGAAGTCAGCAGCAATGTTCCCTCTAAGCTGTGGAGTCTTGTGAGCAGAAATTCTACTTTGTGACCTGCTGGCATTAAAATTGTGAGCAAGCGATTTGTCTGCTGCCTAAATTAGTTTGTTCTTGAGCCGTCCTTCCTGAGCTAAGACCAAAATGTGTGAGCCGGAGGCTAAAAAACTGTGAGCTAGCTCACACCAACTCAGCTTCGAGGGAACACTGGCAGCAGCCCTGTGGTGGAAGGGAAGGAAGACAGGCACCTGGGTGGGTCTTGCAGGGCGGAGATGAAAAGATGGGGAGTGGGATCTTGAGGCATCCACGGAAGGCTCTCCAGACCGGGGTCCCACTCTCAGGTTTAAGAGGGCGTTGCTGTTGGAGGAGTCTTCTTGGTGGTGGCCGGAGAAACCCCTGTTACTTTGGCCACAAGTTCAAGGAGGCTTTCTCGAGTGATGCGCAGGGGGAAGAAAAAAGACTATTGCCCTATGAACCCTTGCCCCCTCATCTAGTGTGGTGCAGACTCTAATCTAGAGAACCGGGTTTGATTTCTCACTTCTCCACATGCAGCCAGCTAGGTGACCTTGGGCCAGTCACAGTTCTCTCAGAGCTGTTTTCTCAAGAGCAGTTCTCTCAGAGCTCTCTCAGCCCCACCTACCTCATAGGGGGTCTGTTGTGGGGAGAGGAAGGGAAGGTGATTGTAAGCCGCTCTGAGACTCCACGTGAAGGGAAGGGTATAAATCCGGTCTCTTCTTTTCCTTTAATGGTAAAGGCAATGTGTTTCGCTCCTGCTCAGAGGGCAATCTCATCACTTCATCGAACACAAAATCTGGGAAGTCGCTTTGTATCTGTTGAAAACCAGCCCTTCTGGCTCCTTGCAACTGAGGATCTTTCCCAAGCTGACCTGGATTCATATCCCAAAACAGAGTTGAAGGCTGCTCAAATGCCTCACGAGTTGGGGAGCAAAGCAATGCAGTTTTGGCCCTGAGTCCATACATAGCTGAAGAAATATTTCAAATTCCCATGTGCCAGTCCAAAAGCACCACGTTGTTTAGCTTGGGATTCG